GGGATTGAACTCAGGTCCTTGCGCTTGCCAGGGAAGCGCTTATTCCACTGAGCCATCTCCCTGGCCCCGATTTTTTTTTTTTTTTTTTTTTTTTTTTTTTAAGGTATAGCTTCAGTAGTTCTAGGAATTCCTGAGAGGAGAGAAAGTAAATCTGCTACACTTTCACCTTCACTTGCAAATGCTGTATTTGAGAGCTGTCTTAGTTACTTTTCTCTCCTTGCTGAGACAAAACACCCAAACCTAGAATCAAAGGGGGAAGGTTTTTATAGAGATTTCAGTCAGTAACTGACTGGCTACAAGGCTGGGTAGACGGCAGAGGACACTGCAGAGGAGACAGTTAATGGTGGGCAAAAGGTAGCAGAGCCCACAGAGGGGAGACAGGTCTCTTTCAGTCGCTTGTATTGGATCCAGGCTACTGGATTAGGGTGGTGCCAAGCCAATCTGTGGACTGGTTTAGTAATCACCCACCCTTAATCCCAGCACTGCACCATGAATCAGTCACATACCCTAGATTCAGCCGTCTCTGAGAAGCCCGACGTATGACTGCACGAGGGGCACGAGCATCACAAGAGCCCTGTCCTTCCTTCACAAAGCATTATCTAGGCCACGGTGTCTGAGGTCTTGTGATGTGCTGTCCAGCTTGAGCGCTGGGTCAGCTTCCTGTACATGGGCAGGTGTCTCAATAGTCAGTGTTTCCTGTGAGCTTTTCAACTCTGGGGTTCAAAGCGTTTTTCTGAGTATTAATGCTTTATTGGCAATGTAAGAACTTAGTTCCACCCTCAGGAAATGTGCAGATTATCAGTTTCATGCCTTGTGAATACTGAGCAGTATCTAGAGGCGGACTTCTTTAAAAAATAATTCTTTTTCTTGACATAAATGTGTATCAAAGTAATATTATCAAAAGAGCCATATCAGTCAACATTCCAAGGTTAGAGCTTCATGTTGTGGAACTAATGCTGCTGTATGAGGAAAGCTTTCAAAATTATACCTACAAATTTTATTTTCCTGTTGCTACTCCCCATTTTTCTGCAAATGTCTTTCTTCTCTGTTGCAGTAGTATAGTTGAGATTTTATAAACCAAGATGTATGGGATATTTATTCAAATTTTAAAAGAGAAATTGTATTGACCAATATTAACTTACTATTTCCTTATGCATATTTTCAATCACATAGGTTTCTTAAATTGGGAACCGTTAGTAATATCAACTACTTGTTAAAAACTGTGGGTTAGGCTGGGGATATAGCTCAGAGATGTAAGTACCTGCCTGGCAAGCACAAGGTCTCAAGTTCAATCCCCAGTACTGAAAAGAAAAGAAAAGAAAAGAAAAGAAAAGAAAAGAAAAGAAAAGAAAAGAAAAACTGTGGGTTAGGATATAACTGTTAGGTCTGTAGTTTAAATATCTGTATGTAGTAGGATATCACTCGTATAGAGCAGAAATGTGGCTCCCAACCAAAATTGGCCTTAAAACAAAGATAATAGTGAATCTAATTTTCTAGTTGATTTGACTTTGAATGTGTGCTCTCAAGGAGAAAAACAGATACATTTCATGTGGAATTTCACATTTTTAAAGGAAATTAAGTCCTATAGAAAAAAAAAAAGCTGAATTTTTCAGAGTTAAAGAGGGAGGGACTTGCAGCTGGGGAGATAGCTCAGTAGAATAAGTGCTTGCCTGGCAAGTGCAAGGTCCTGAGTTCAATCCCCGGTTCCACAAAAAAAAAAAGAAAAGAAAAAGAAAAAAAAAGAAAGACGGACGGACTTTAAGTTGAACATGGCATCATACCCACTCGTGGCTTCTCAGAAGCTGTCCTCTGATATGTTCTTTCACAACCCCCCAGAAGAAATTCTTTTTTGCATTTGTTACATTATCAGTGGTGTGAAAATATTTCTATCTTAAGCTATTTTAAATTTAGGCTGTTTTAAGCTATTTTATTTCCTAAGCAAAAATTAAATTTTAGCCATTTTTTAAAATTTTAAAATTATACCTGTTAGGACTTGGGAAGATGGCTCAGTAGAATAAGCACTTCCCTGGCAAGCACAGGGTCCTGAGTTTAATCCCTGGTACTGAAAGAAAAAAAAAGAAAAGAAAGAAAGAAAGAAAGAAAGAAAGAAAGAAAGAAAGAAAGAAAGAAAGAAAGAGAAAAAAGAAAAAATTATACCTGTTTTTCTAAAATTAGTTAAAATGTTGAGGGCTGACTTCCATACAAATGAAAGATAATTTCCTACTGGACTCCCTGCTCCTCCTTTCTGGAGTGGCGGGGAGCACACCAGTCAGGGTGAGGGCATGAAGGTAGTACCCAGACTTAGGGCATCAGGTGAGGGCAAGGAACAGAAAGGCAGCAAAGACAGAAGCAGGCACGCGGTGCTGAGCATGTCCTCTCTTGCAGTGTCACACTGAGCACACTCTCTGTGGGGACCCAAGTCAGTGCCTAACCATGTAGAGGCAAAAGACAGCATCGCCATGCCCAGGAACTGCTTGCTGCTTTTAGCCAGTATTCTTGGTGCTTAAAAAATGTTTTTTGGGGGGTGAAAGACCTTGCCAATCATGAGCCTGCTGTTAGGTGGGGGCAGTCAGCAAACGTGAATTTATTGTGGTCCTCTAAAACTGTCAAAAGATTGTCCCAAGAATGGTAAATGGTAAAGGAGATATTTCAAACCAGAAAGAGACTTACATACCAGTGAAATTTTAGCTGTTGAATTTATTTGAAACGTCTATTTAAAAACATAACTTTGACTTGCTTTGCATTTTATACCAAATTGGAGAAGCCTCACGGTGTCTTGGTTTCTGTTGTTGTTTTTGTTTTTAGCAGATGGTCCATACCTTCAAATATTAGAGCAACCTAAACAGGTAAGAAGATTAATGGGGTGGGACTCTAATAATGTTGGATCTCTGCATCTAATGTTAAGACCTCAAGCATGGAAAAATACTAAATAAATTTTACAGAGGAAGTAGGTTATCTGGAAGATCAACAACCTGCCAAATTATATAACAACTTTGCTGGTCCGCTTTCTATTTCTCTCTCTCTCTCTTTTTTTTTTTCTATTTCTCTTAATCATTTTTCTTGCACCACAGTGTAGTTCTGTGAAATCCCAGTTAACTATAGATCCTTGGGTTTCTGATCTCTCCACCGGTTTACCTCTCAACCTTTCCCAGGAAGGCATGGATTATTTCTACCCACTTTTGTCTATAAGGAAGTAAGCTGACTCAAAGCTCACAGCCACATGTGCATAGTCCTTCCCAAACCTCCTTCCTATAGGAGGTGCAGCCTCTTCTGTCCATAGAACTTGTAACCTAACGTACCGAAAGTGCTGCTTGGTGTCAGTTAGAAGTCTCTTCCTTCTGGCAAATCTCTTGGAGCCAAAAGCAGAGCAATTTATTTTATCAGGCTCTGCCTCTAAGCTCAGGGTGGAAATGGCCTCTCTAAACCAAGTTCCAGCTCTGTGCAGAAAGATATGTCAGCAAATGGAGGCCTCCAGCACTGTGAAAGGAAGAAATTGCTCTTTGCTGTCTGCCTATAGGACCTTTCGCTCACTAAGCGCTGTCCAGCACTCATCTCACTGATGACCAGGCGGTCCTCATCAGCTGAATCAGATGATAGCCTCTCTCGGAGGACAGGACCCCGATGGGGGACTTCAGAGGCTGCTCTGATTGCTTGCGGGGAGTCAATCCCTTTGTAGGCTGCAGGCAGCGCTGCCTCTGTTTACCTCCACCTCCAGCTCAACAGCAGTGATTTCTCACACAAGGCCTCACATTCTCCCAATAATTTCATCTTGAAAATTACAGGGTGACCTGGCCTCCTGGAAAATTTCCTAGCTTGTAGTTTTATGAAACTAAGCAACTAAAAGTTGTATTCACACCAAATTACTTTTTCAGATAGCCATTTTTATAAGCATAGCACCACAATGAGATTTTCACATATAGTTCCTTGCCACGGGCCCAGCAGCCCTAAGGAAAGATTGGTATTTGGGATTTCTTGGCAGGGTGAGTGGATTTCCAGGACTCAAGCCAATTCATTATGTGTGTGTGCCCAAGAGGTCACAGGAGCGCATCAGGTGTTTATTTACCAATTGCTGCTGCTTTGACATCTGACTTCAGTGACAGAGGCCATACGGAAGGCAGACTTTACTTGGATGCAGCAAGCTTCCCACTTGGCTTGGTGACTCTCCTGGAGCACTCTGAGATTAGCCGAGCCTTGAATCTCAGAGAGTCAGACTCAAAAACACATCCAGACCATGCATTTGAAGACATCTTATCTTCCTGAAAAACAGAATGCTAAATTTCCATGTACAGGTTGAAAATTAGCATGCATAGAGTTATAAATGCTCTCATGCAGCCCCAAGCATACAGTGAAGTCATGCACATGTGGAATCTCTTTAGTTCTACTCTCAGTAACATACAAAAGTGTACACGTATGCACTTTTCCAAGTGCCTCCAAGGGATTTTGCTATTGAAGATAATGAATCACTTTAGTCATTTTTTAAAAACCAGTAAAGATATCTGTGGGGCCTTCCTGGGCCAGATTTTCTGAGCTGTGATGGGAATGAGTCGCAGCATGGTCTACAGATCTCTGCATATCCAGTTCTGCTGCACATGGCTCAGCCCTAATTAGCTAATCCTGTTTTAAAACTGAAGCTGTGTTTGAATTGATTAGTAGTCAAGTAAATCTCTACCTCTGTAGTTAGCCAATTCTGGTTGCTACTGCACGTGCTGTTGCTTTCTCATGCCTTTAGAATTTCCATTTCATTATTTAAAGTAAGCCACCAGCCATTGCTTAAAAGGCGTGGCTTTTTTTTTTAATTTCAATTTTGTGAGATGCAAAATAGAAGAAACACCCCTAATACCTCATTTCTGAGGGCTCCCCTGATAACCAGGCATGGGAACTTCAGAAGAGCCAAAATTAAGAGCTATGTGAGGTCTTGCTGTGGTGAGTGGGCACACACTGCAGATGGAGTAGGACAGGAACTGTCCAGTCTGTGGCACAGACTGAGCCCTGCAGCCCCTCCTCAGCAAGCAAAACATGCTGTGGGGTCATCTCTTGGAAATCAGCCTTCCTCAGAAAGTAGGGACAGTGGTCCAGCCTCCACAGAGATTCAGATGAGATCTAGAGACCTGGGCCACTCACAGACCATACAGTTCTACCAGTTGTCATCCAGTGAAGGAGGGCAGACTGCCCCTTGGGCGGTGAGCCCTAAGCTAACGAAACCTTACTGTTCACTGGCCTCCATCACATGTGCGGTAGAGACCTGCCCAGCAAGGGGTGGGTGGGAGCTGCTAACGGTCTAACATCTTAGCACTGTTCCTGTAATAGCTGCCCCATAATAAAAATAAGTGAAAGGCCAGGCTACTTCTTAAAGGACATGAACACACCCTTCTTTTCACCAGAGGGTGAAGCGGAATGAATTAAAACCACCCAGCCAGGTAGTTGCACAGTTCCAAACTACTGACTTTGCCACACACTGAGTGACATCCCCATGAAGGTGAAAACAGGGGAGCTTCCTTATGACTGTGAGGTCCATTTTTAGAATGGCCTTTGCTTTATCCTTTGCATACCAGGCTGAAGAATTACAAGTAAGCCCGCTTTATAGATCGTAAGCAGTTAGAACCGAGCCTTGCAGACTGGGCCTTCCAGATGGTATCAGTGGTCTTCTTGTCTGTCAGACAACAGGATTGCTAGGTCTGTCTGCTTGTAGTTATACACACATGACAGAGGTACAACAACCTCTTCACTGATGAAGCCCAGCTATAAAATTCCCAAGATCAGACTGTATAAGGGAGCATATAGCTTTTGTGCATTCACATCAGTTGATAGAAGCTTTAGTTCCTTGCTGCAATCATCATGAAATTAAAGCCTTCCCCATGGCGTGGAGAGAAGCTGGCGATGCACAGCATGTCATGGGTGTGCTGGAGCTAACAGGACGCCTCTGCAGCCCACCTCCACCAGTCATCATCAGCGGGGATACAAGAGTGCCTCTAAGTCACAGTCGAGGAAGCATGACGCTCCCTGCTGCAGGGAAACGGCAGAAACTTGAGATGAGGGAGCTCTGGCTCCGACCCCACAGTCTTGGCGTTGGTGTCGCTGCCGCAGCAGCCCACTTCCTGCAGACGCCACTGGGCTTCCCAGCCACAAGTTCTTGGTCATGCACTCATCCTGGTGACCTTGAGAAAGCCCTTCTGCTTCCCAGGGTCCTTTTCAGCAGATTCCTGTGTTTCCATCTAGCACACAAAAGCATTAGAAATTCTGTGTCTCTTTGTCATTCTCATTTAAGGCCTCCTTTTCATGCTTCTGGCACCGTGTTCACTTTTTCAGAGAGGATTCCGTTTCCGTTATGTGTGTGAAGGCCCCTCACACGGTGGGCTTCCAGGTGCATCCAGTGAGAAGAACAAGAAGTCCTACCCTCAGGTCAAAGTAAGTTTGGGGTCTCCTCCTACGAGGTCTCCCCCAAGACTCAATTTCCTAGATGCCAAATCACAGAGCAGCTTCAAATGATTCCATTTGCCTTTGCTCCTGAATAGAAGTGTTGGCAAGATTGTTATAGTTTTCAAGTGGAAATCTGCCGTAGCAGTAGAAAGGACAGGTTTTAAACTGTTAACATTTCCATCAAGTAGAAATGTTTTTTAAATTAGCTAAGAAACTTTTACTATTTCACAATCATGCTCAGTGATAAACCCTCAAGCTTCTAGCTTTGAAGCAAATGCTTTGTTTTAGCTCCAGAAATCAGTGAGCGAGACAGGGACTGCGTGTGTAGACTAGATCATGTGTTGTTCAACATCATGAATTCAGATTCAGACAGTGTGACAGGCTGTGCACACTTCTGAGCCTCCGTGTCCTGATGGTGCGGTGCTAAGCAGCAGCTTCCCTGAACCCTTGGGAAGCTCGGGGAGGACGCTTCTGTACACTCTACAGGGACCTCAGAGTCCCCAGCCTCGTTGTGCACAGATGCATGCTGGCGCACTGGGCGTCCTTGGGCCAAACTGTGGGTACACCTGTGCCATCGCAGGTCCCTTCATTGTTTGCTGATTGGACTAAGAATAGCTTTCTCTTAAGTTAGGTCAGGCTTTGCTTCCATGTTTGGTTATGGTTTTGCAGGAAAGCCAGTTTGCTGTTACAGTGTAGTTGTTTATAAACATTTCTATTTATTCAGTAACCCAAACCTGAGGCCAGAGAGCCATCAGCACTGCCCACCCTGATGCAGAGCATGCTCGGAGCTCCTGACCGTGGCTCAGCAGGTCTGGCCCTCAGCAAAACTGTGATGGACGGAAATGGTTCTTTGGTTTTTCTAGGCTTGCATTGCTTCTTCTCTTTCCTCGCACTCCTTCTAGATCCATTCCTTTCTAATTCTTATCTTTGTTTTAAAACAAAAGAAAAAATACTGTACTGTTGTTGTTTACCTTTGAGTGAAATGTAGTCCTAGTATTAGTTCTGTGAGCCATATTTTCAGTTAAAGCTTTCAGCTATAGTTGCATCATGAAGACATTTTCCACATTAAAGATAGACAGGTAAATGTGATATTTTTAGTCCACAGAAACAACCATGGATGGATGAATGGATAGATGAATGGTGGATTGATAGATAGGTGGGGTGGATGAATGGGTGGATAGAATGGGTTGGTGCATGGATTGATGGGTGGGTGGTTAAATGGGTGGATGGAAGGATGGATGGATGGATGGATGGATGGATGGATGGATGGATGGATGGATGGATGGATGGATAGATGGATGGATGGATGAATGGGTGGATGGCAGGAGCTGGTTGGCATATAGTGGCTAAGTCCCACAACAGGCTGTGCTCAGAGGTACTAGTAGCATGGTTCATCCTAAGCGCTGAAGCCTTGGAACCAAAAGATAATGGTATAACTCTCAGTCCAAGACTTGAAGCCTTGAGAATCCAGGGGTGAGCATAGTGAGGTTGCTAGTGTATGTCCAAGGGACCAAAGGCTGCAGAGCCCAGGGCTCGGACCTCCTCTTCTAGGAGGAGTGACCCCATCCAGGAACAGAGACCTTCTCCTCTTCTGCTTTGTTGCTCTTTCTAGGCCTCCACTGGTGGACGTGTCCTCACAGACACACCTAGAAGTGGTGCTCTGCCAGCACCCTGGGTATCCCTTAATCCAGCCAAGTGGACATCTAAAATTAACCATTGAGACAAGGTCAAGGATTTCAACCCTTTAGACCCTAAATTAGGAATCAGAAACACCAACAAGGAAGAGAATTAGTGCTCACAGAAAGCCATTGATTTGCCACATACTCTGCACATATTATCTCTTTTAAAAATTTGTAACATTTTAAGACACATCTCTTCACAAAGGTCAGAGGTGCCATGCCTGTAGGGAAACTGAAGCTCAGACAGGAAATTAACTGGCCTTTCCCATGGGACTGTAGCTTTTTGTCCTCAGCACCCTGGCATTCAGGACCCTCTCTATAGAGTGGGTGCAGTGAGGTGCCACTGGGGACAGGGGACCAGGGATAGGATATGGCCATGGCAGCAATAAGGCACAGAGAATTCTGGAAGACAGGGCGGCTCAGGATAGAGCAGATGGTCTGGGCATCAGATCCATTGCTGTGGGAATACTTATGTACACTTGCGAGAAGGCTCATTGAAAGTTGTGTCTCTTCAGCTCTAACACTGACTCTAATTACTTAGGAATTGACCAGGCAGGGGCTGGGGTGCAGCTCAGGGCAGTGCTGGGCTGGTGAGCTGGAGGCCCTGGCTTCCATCCTCAGCTCTGAGAAGAAACAAATAGAAACTCGATTGCTATAGGGTTCTGTGTCCAAGCACGTGTATGATGCTTAAGAATACACAACGTCATAAATGTATTCACTAACACTTTTCATTCATTGAAGCTCCATCTTCATTCCACCTCCTCCAAAAACATATCATGGCCCAAAATGATTTAGAAGTGAAACAATTTATTGGCTATCAGGTGTTCTTGTCGAATCATATGTATATCCATGCATGTCATACTTAGTGGGAAATTCTAAAGCTCTAATAATAAAGCAAGACCAAATATGAATGTACATTGTTTGGCCTCAGACAGACTGCCATCATCTCAGCATTTTGATTTTCTAGTTAAGTGTATATTTATTAAAATGCCACTCGGTTAAAAGATAAGGAAGAACTTAGAGTTTCCCAACTTGACCTCGAGAAGCAGCCCTGTTCCCTGGCTGATGTTGTGCACTGAGCGTTTACGTGGCTCTGTTGTTTCTACCAATTAATGGAAGTACTTTTTTGTAGCGTTATGAGAGGTGAGAGGGAGGGAAGCAAAGAGGCATTGTGAAGGGTTTTATTCTGGAGTTTTTCCTCCAGGATCTTATAACAGTCTTTTGATAAAAGACTCCCATGGGTGACAAATCACAGGATTTTAAATCCTTTCCCTCCAACACTTGGACATCGAAAAGGGATGTTCTCGGCATATTTCCTGCGAGGAGAATCTCTGTACCTGCACCAGCTTTTGTCCTTGTGGCGATCTCAGGGAGCTGGAGAGAGTGGCCATGGGGCCTGGGTTGGGGTCTCTGAAGCTCACACTGTGGTTGTTGTGGGCCAGGACTCTTCATTGTGGGGGCCGCTGGGTACATGGTGGGATATTTAGCAATGGATTAAAGTATCTCCAGACATCCCTTGACAGGGATCATCCTCACTTAACCAGTAGTGTAGGCACAACGCTGAATCAGTCTCACCTTATCCTGTTGATCCTTTTCCAAAGTAGGATCACATAGATTGAATGGAATTGTTTATATTCATGTATTACTGGATAAACATGAGCTTTTTTTGATTAGTGTTAGCAGGTCTTTATTTTCAAGATGATGATCATAGTGTCTGAATAATTTCTCCTAGAATCTCTTTTCAGTTTATGTGGACATTAAGAATAAAGATAGAAAAGAGGAAACGTCATGTATCTTAGGCATTCTCCCTCATACGACAACTGCATCCCTGATGTGGAAGCTCTGTGGACTGCTAGGAGCTGGCACCAGAGGCCCAGTGGTCCCTGTGCAGCTGCGTGGTCACACAGGTGGCAGTTGGGCATGAGTCGTCTGAAGGACGGGAGCTGGTGGGGGTGAATGCTGAGGCACACTTCATGGGACTTGCAGACATTCTGTCCCTTGAGGATTCCCACCAGCTCTATGTAAGTCACTGAAAGCCAACCTGGCTCTTGCATCTCCTGCTGGGAGTGCCCTTGCACGGAGCCCTGTTGCCAGCCTCTCACCAGTCGGAGGTTGCTTTTGGAACCCAGGCTGCTGTCCCTAAGGGTACAGCTCTGTGTGTCTCTCACAGAGCTGAGCCAAGAGGAACGAATCCAGATCACTTGGTTTTCTGGTGTCTTGCTGTGCATTCCTTTTCTGTTAAAGTCTTTAAAATTATAAGAGATTGCATGTGTGGAAAGTTTATAAACGGACCCTAGTGTAAGTTGAAGAGATGTGAATGGTTCCCACTTCACGTGGTTGCAGCTAAAGCACACCCCCACACCGCACCACAGACTCGGCTTCTATAGGAGACTGCTGTCTGAGCACTCTTTCTTGGAGTTGTTTTTATGCTCATACTGCATGAGTACACATTCATGAATACTGGGATTCTCGAAACCATACCAGCTTCAACTCAACACTGATTATATATCGTGGCTCCTTTTCAGGATCCATGAGGGGTTGTTAAAAATTAACCTGGCCTCACTTTGACCCTATGGATTCCTCTTGACTATGTAAATCAAAATGTGTTTTTACACAGTGCAGGGTTTGTGCTGCCGCATGAAGCAGAAATAATTCTCAGGGGACATTAGAGGGAGGGTTGCGTTGCAGGCCAACTTCTGTGTTGCCCTATTTGAAGGAAAGTTTCCTGTTGCTAAAGGGTTAGTGGCCCACCACGCCAGCCTAAGACGTTACCCCTGGAGTCAGCTGGGCTCTGCCTTCTGGGGCGCTGGCAGAAGCGCAGAACTCCAGGCCAGCATGTCCCTGCCTGTTGGTGACTCAGCAGGGAGTGCCAAGGAAGGCTCCTGCCTCCTCTTCCCGACAGCCAAGCAAGATTTCTAATCTCCCTGCGCTCCTCTTTATGAAGGTGAGGAGACCCAAACCCGGCCCACTCGGGTTGCAAGGAGCGGTCCCTCTTCTCCGGGTCCCTCCCTCCATGGTGGCTGCTGGACACCTTCTGCCCCCTCTGTGCACACAACCAGCAGCGGCCACTTTGTTTCCAAAATGCCAAGAGCTTTCTGTTAGTGCTGTTATTTTCTTGTTTTTTGTAAATATCAAAAGCAAGGGATTGAAACCAAACTGACACAAGTGGAACTGTTCTTAAGGAGTGTTTTCTGAAAGCTATCGAGAGTGCTGACAATGAAGGCTCCTATGAAATGCGTGCCACCGCCCCCAAAAGCCGGTAGAGAGAAGTCTCCTGGTGCCTCTCGTGCAAGAATTCTGAATGTTAAG